TTTAACATGATCTTCTTCCATTTTCTTCCTCGCACGGACCTGCTTCTTAGTAAACTCATCTAGTTTTGACCAAATAAATCCGTATTTGCGCTGCTGGCTCTGCTTGCATAATTTTTTGAACAAGTTCATCAACCGCTTGTTCTTGAACTGTGAGAAAAAATTAGCCCCAAGATGGCGCATGCACCACCGGCTCTGCAAGTCCCTCCAAGGTGTTGGTTCGTCATCTGTTGGATTACGAAGTGTCTTCACGGCCTTCAATATACCATCATGTCTGTCATGAATGACACACACGTTTGGTCGGTCCTTCACGATGGCAATTTTCACTTGGCGGAAGAACCATACCCAACTGGGAAAGTTCTCACCCTCCACAAATGCCATAGCAAGTGGGATGATTTGGTTGTTCCCGTCCACACCAATAGCAGTCAGGATTTGCCCTCTATACTGACCGGTCAGGAATGTACCATCCACAAACATAACAGGAGGACAATGCCGGAAAGCTTCGATGCACATAGCAAAAGAGAAGAACACTCGTTTCAACACCTTGAAATCTGGTATACTCAGCAACCTCATGTGTTGTACGTTCACATAAGTGCCTGGATTCCTCTCCTTCAGTATGCCAAGGAGACGAACAACATTATCATATGAGTCGAAGAACGTTCCAAACCTTTCCTCCATAGCCTTCTGCTTAGCCCTCCAAGCCTTCCCATAAGGAATGACATAATTCCATCTGACCTTCACTGCTGTCTGGATGTTTTTGCTTCTATATCTTTCTTCTCTACTATCTTAGTACACATGAGTTGCGCAATGAGATTTGAAGTCAGGTTTGGATGCTTCACCAGCAGGTTCTTCCTCACACAATTATGTGGGACGACAATGGTGAGAACCCAGTGGATGTCATACTTCGGCACGTGCCCGTGCACCTTCCCTGGACAACCTGTTTCAACACATTTTATGGTATAGTTTGTTGGACTTGATATGTGTGTCCGGAAAATCCTCTGCGTAGATATAGCCCACTTTATCACCGCATACTTCAATTTTTTCTTTGTATCAAACATAGCCCCTATTTGTACTTGGTTCAGATTATACTGCCATGGAGTCTCATGGCCATCATTGACTGTAAGGCCGGTGGATATGTCTTGCTCGCATGCAGAAGGAATCGGTACCTCCACTTCATCCTCAGAATTTTCAGAATCTAGTTCCTCCACCAATCCATCCTCGTCCTCTTCCTCCATCACTCTCTGCATTTCATCCCCTTCCTCATCCCCATCAGCAAAACCATAACCAGCTAATATTATCGACTGGCTACTCTTCCCAGTATCATGACCACAAACATTGTGTGGCACGTAGTCTGACTCTTTCTCGGGTTGGCTAGCATCCACATCTTGTGGTTGTGACCCGGATAAAACAATCTCGTTAGACACTTCACTGCCCTGGCCGGGTTCATACCCCCTATGGAGTTGTACAGTATTCTCCTCCTTCGGCACAGGTTGCACAAGTGCATATGGGTGGATTCTTCGGTCTCGGCACCATCTTAACAAGGACAACCAATGCTGGCTCCTATCTATCGGCATCAACTCCCACTTGACATTTTTACAAGATTTGGTCCACAACGCATGAATACTGACGTAACATACTTCAGGATCCAGCCCGAAACTAGTTGTCAACCAATACTTCAACTGTCTAATGTCCAGTCTGTCCGGGTCTGCTAGTGTCATGACGCCATTTTTAAACTCGCTAAGATCAACCCCCAACTCATTATATCGAACATTACCAGCGTCATAGTAAACATTCAGATTTACTGATTCAGACATTTTCACCTGTCAGACATTGTCCTCTTCTCATTAATCACAACGAACACTAATATTACCCGCTACACTAACTAAAATCCGCTAAAATGCCACCCCATACAAATTAACACTAACACAATTTTTATTATCCGCTACACTAACACAATTATTATTATTCCGCTACACTAACACAATTATTACAACGCTAAAATGCCACCACATACAAATTAACACTACAATTCGCAATATAACTTATCTACACTAACTAAACTATGCAACTCAGAGAAAATTTGTGAGGACATGAGTATACCTTAGCGGAGGTGCTTGCACCACCGAACAACGACAGCACCACCGCCGCCCCCTCGACGACCGGAGGTTCAACTCCAGTCACCCCCAAGCCGCACCTCCTCCTCCACAGCTGCTGCTCCCCCACAACTCCTGCTCCTCCTCATCAACACCTCCTGCCCAACCGCACCTCCTCCTCCCCACCATGGCTACTCCTCCACAAATGCACAGAAAACTATCCCATAGCAAAAAAAACACCGTAGGCCGTTTGGGATTGCTACGATCTACCGATTATGTGGCTTCGATGTGAAAATGGGTGGCAAACAGAGGAGATCAGCTAGGGGTGGTGAGGTATAGAGAAGAAACGAGAGAGAGAAAGAAGAACAGAGGCGAACATGCGAGAGGAAGGAGACGCCGTGCGGGGCCTTATCCGCTACTTTTCGGTCGATGGGAGGCCGAAAAGGCTCTTCGGCCGCTGCCTGGCCGAAAAGGCCCACTTCGGTCGCCGCCAGGCCGAAGCTACTATTTTCGGCCCGCCCTCCGCCGACGCTCGGTTTTGGCCCAGCTACGCGTTTCTTCGGTCAACCGCGGGCCGAAAAGCCCACTTCGGCCAAACTGTGACCGAAAAGTGCCTCTTCGGCCAACACCGGGCCGACGGGCTGCTACTTTTGGTTTTTTGCATTACGTGCTATAGTTTCCGAAAATGCTATATAATATATCATAGTTTTGAAAAAAAATCACGCTAACGCCCACACATGTGGTGGGAGGCAAACCCGCCAACACACCCTATAACACACAGACTGCGCCACGTCACCGTATGCATGTATGTGAGAATCTTTTTAGATTTTCAATTTTTAAAATATTTTATCTCTTAAATAAAAAGTCTGATTGAAGATCCGTTTTCACCATTAAGTCCCTCGCGGCGAGATCTTCGAAACTAGATCTCATATCAATATATTTCGGTGAATTTTTTTGGGGGGTTAAAAGTTGTCATGTCTATTGCACATGAAATGCCATGATGTTTACACTGAAGTTGTCACAATACGTTTTAACTAATTTTTTTCTAATTTAAAAGTAAAATTTTGACATATTATAAAACGGGGAATTAGGAAACTAGACTTGGCATGAACCATAAACTAAAATTGCCATGATACATGCACTTAAAATTGCCATGGTTCATACAAAAAATATTTTTTATGGTCAAAGTACTGGAATTGCCATCATAAAAAAAACTAAAATTGCCATACTCTACCAACTAAAATTGCCACATGGCAACTTTAGTTTAAGCACTATGGCAACTGTAGTGTAAACATCATGGCAACTTTTGGGCAAAACAAATTCGTCAAAACATATCAACATGGGATCTAGTTTTGAAGATCTTGTCGAGATGGATTTAATGGTGAAAATGGATTTTTAACTCAATTTTTTAATTAGGAGATAAAATATTTTTAAGCCGAAAACCTAAAAGATTCCTGCTGATGTCATCTGTTTATACGTGGCAAAATGAGTGGTGATGGAGGCGTGTGGGCGATGTGTAAGATGCCACATGGGCGTTAGTTTTTTCGTTCAAGAAAAGACAACACCTGGCCCTTTATGTAAATCTGAATGATGAAGCGGTTTCAAGAGATGCTTAAGGTAGCAGAGAAATCGTAGCACAGGGCACAGGTAAACAAATATGACAAATTTGACTCAGTTCAAAACAAATGCATCAAGTAGAGAGAAGCTAACAAGACAGTACCCCATCAAGACAACCTCTAAGCAGAGCGAAATGTCAAAAATAACTGAGTGCCGAAATTCAGATGCTCCATGTAGCTCACCATGGCTTAGGGAAGAGATGACCTGAACATATATAGCAGATGATGCCGAAATCTATGTGGGCCTTTTAACTTGCCAACGAGAGAAAATATATCTATCTATCTAGATAACTATGACTTCCATTTGCACATAACAAAACTCCCGAGACCTGACCCTCGGAAGTTCGACAAAGTAAACATGACATGGCATTAGATCTTTCTCTAGTAACGATCTTAATTTTCTCATAAGTATATGACACAGCAAAGCTAGGTACTTTTGACAATCAGATCCCACAGGAAATAATCATTGAGGGCATATGAAAACATGAAAGGAGATAAAGGAACAGCAAAAACAAGAGGCTGTAACACAGATTACTATTCTAGAAAGGGTTCAGAGGTGCGGATGTTAAATAGGGTTCAAGTGAACCAGAAGTACAGGGGTCACGGGAAGGAGAAATAAAGCACAACAACACATAGATAACATAGTTCTTTCAGTTGCATTTAGCATGTCCCAAAATGCCCCTATTTGGCATGCTCACCGCTGTTTAACAAACAAGGTAATTACTTAACAGACTGATGCAACAACCCAGAACTGAAGCAATAACAAGTATTATGGCCTGAAGCCATTTTTCTAGTAACCCTGCCAGCATACTTTCAGCATAAGCATCATTTCAAGGGAAATATATTAATGCTTTCAGTTCAAACATGATATCAAGATGCACTACTACACAGCAAAACTGAAGTAGAAAAGCTCAGTCAGAACAACATGGCAGGGTCTTGCAAAGAAAAACTGTGACGGCTTATTACCAAAATCTGATCATCACAAACCAAAATAGCACAAAGTAGCCATCAAACTTTACAAAGTTTGACTTCAGACAAATCTTATATGCGGGGTAAAAAGAAACGGAGGGAGTAAAACTGACGTAAACAGTTCAGTTAGAATAACATGGCAGGATCTTGCAAATAAAAATTGTGACGGCTTATTACCAGAATCTGATTATCTAAGACCAAAATAGCACAAGGTACTCATCAAACCTAGACAGAGGCCAAGAATTAATTAAAGGAGCATAAGAAAGCGTCTAAACTCTCAGCATATTGTATGGAGAAGACTCTTTCCTCCCATGTTGAATCAAACTCAGCGAAGTTTCTCCTTCACTGAATACTTCTTGGCAGCATCTCGCACCTTTTCAATATACCCTTCAATCCGTGGTGTGAGTGTTGCCATGTATCGGTTTGCAGGGAACGGGGTCATGTCAGGAACCATAGCAGCAGCCCGCAGCTTCTCAGGGAGTGCAGCAATGGCCTCCTTCTTGAGCCTCAAGAGTGTTGACTCTGCAGTTTGACGTGCACGGTGTCGTCGCATTAGCACACGGCTGTATTCTATTGCAAGACGCAGGCCATCTTCAACTGTCAGCTCATACTTAGGGATAGCCTCCTCATCCACCAGACCAAGACTGATATAGTCAAGGCCCGGCGGACCCATCAGAATGCGGTCACCATCACCTCCACTGGCACCCTTGGATTTAGCTTTAGCTTTAGCCTTGGCAGCGTCAAGCTCACGTTGCCGTTCCTTGGAGATGAGCCCAAGCTCCTCACGCTTTGCCTCGCGAAGACGCTCCTTGGGGGACAGGTGCCGCAGAGGAGTAGAGGACCGCAGAGGAGTAGATGCGAGAAGGGTTTCCCCTATGGTCCTTGGCCTCCATGGCATGGGAGGGGCGAGAGCCCCTCCGAGATTGGATCTGTCTCTCTGTTTCTCTCTGTTTCTGCGTTCCCGTGCTCTGCCCTTTCACTGTTTCGTATATATATGGAGATCCATAACTCTGATTGGATTGACACCTTTGCCCAGATTTTTTCTCCGAAAATTAGCTTACTTGCGGTCGAAGAAGAGCAGCAACCGCCTTAAAGGTAGAACAAATATCCCCTCAAGTTCTATCGACCATCGATACAACTCTACGCACGCTTAACGTTCGCTTTACCTAAAACAAGTATGAAACTAGAAGTACTTTGTGGGTGTTTTTGTATAGGTTTGCAAGAAAATAAAGAGCACGTAAATAAAAGCTAGGGGCTGTTTAGATAAAGACTCAATAAAGTAAATATAGCGAGTGTGGAGAAGTGGTGATAAGAGTTGCGAAATTGTCCCTAAGCAATTGACTACTTTACTAGACCGATAGCAAGTTTTATGTGGGAGAGGCCACTGCTAGCATGTCATCCCTGACTTGGAATTCTATGCACTTATGATTGGAACTATTAGCAAGAATCCGCAAATACTAACGTTCATTAAGGTAAAACCCAACCATAGCATTAAGATATATTGGCCCCCCTTCAATCTCGTATGCATCAATTTCTATGCTAGGTAGAAGCTTCTGTCACTCTTGCCCTCCAATACATAGTCCTATCAACATACAGCTAACCTTATGGTGTGATCCACGCGCGCTCTCATATGATGGGCACCAAAGGACATAAACATAACCACAAGCAAATTAAATCAATCATAGCAATTCATCAACCACCAATAGGATAACGAAAATCTACTCAGACATCATAGGATGGCAACACATCATTGGATAATAACATGAAGCATAAAGCACCATGTTCAAGTAGAGGGTACAACGGGTTGCGGGTGAGTGGACCGCTGTAGATAGAGGGGGGAAGGTGATGGAGATATTGGTGAAGATGGCGGAGGTGTTGGTGAAGATCGCGGTGATGATGATGGTGGCGACGGCAGCGTTCCGGCACCACCAAAAGAGTGGGGGAGAGGGGCCCCCTTCTTCTTCTTCGTCCTTGACCTCCTCCCTAGATGCGAGAAGGGTTTCCCCTATGGTCCTTGGCCTCCATGGCATGGGAGGGGCGAGAGCCCCTCCGAGATTGGATCTGTCTCTCTGTTTCTCTCTGTTTCTGCGTTCCCGTGCTCTGCCCTTTCACTGTTTCGTATATATATGGAGATCCGTGACTCTGATTGGATTGAAACCTTTGCCCAGATTTTTTCTCCGAAAATTATCTTACTTGCGGTCGAAGAAGAGCAGCAACCGCCTTACAGGTGGCCCACCAGGGTCAGGGGCGCGCCCAGGGGGGCGGGTGCGCCCCCTGCCTCGTGGCCACCTCGGGCACCGTCTCATGTTGATTCTTCTTCCCATATTCTCCAAATATTCCAAAAATATTCTCCGACCATTTTATTCCATTTGGATTCCATTTGATATGGGGTTTCTGCGAAACATAAAACATCCAACAAACAGGAACTGGCACTGCGCACTGGATCAATATTTTAGTCCCAAAAATAGTATAAAAGGTTGCCAAAAGTATGTGAAAGTTGTAGAATATTGGCATGGAACAATCAAAATTATGCGAAAGTTGTAGAATAACGGAGATGTATCACCTACCTCCGCCATGAGCGCGAGGATGGTCGGCTGAAGTAAAGGGACGGCAAGGCCTGTTGCCGGGCGACAATGTTTACCTTAAAAATAAGATGGATTCATTCCTTGGCATGGTCCGCGCTCACACACAAAGAACCCGGCAAGCACCCTTTTTCATTAAAAACATCCCATACAGGTATAGTTCATATGGAATAAAAAACACACTACTAGAAAAAGGACTGCTAGTGGCGCACTAGTATCTGGTATACTAATGGTGCACCACATAGAAGTGCGCCATTAGTAACATTTTTTTTAGAATTTGTTTTCAATTTTTTTTCAATTTTTTATTTCGTTTTTTTCTTAATCTCAGGTCATTATGGCTTAATCTCAGGTTAATATGCTTAATCTCAAGTCAAATCGCACTTTGTGGTCAAATTTTCCAGAAGGTCACCCATCCTCACACTACTCCAGCCCGAGTACGCTTAACTTCACAGTTCTATCCAACCCCAGCACCAGCTCACTTCACAAGCACTTGTTGATATATCTATCATATCAATCCTATTAAACCTTGTTGATGTCTAGGTCTTTGTTCATGTTCATGAGTATGATGAAATTTTGAAAAAATATTTCAAACTTCCCGGTCATATTACGTATCATATTTTGAAAAAAAATCGAATTTCTTTTTGAAACCAATTTTTTTCTGTTACTAGTGGCGCATCTAGCAAACAGTGCGCCACTAGTAAGTTTGAAATTTTTTGAATTTTTTTTGCCTCTAGATCTTGAAAGCCCCGTAACTTTTTTCTGCTAGGTTTTTGGGGATTTTGAAAATGTTTAACAAGGTTCCCCCGTTTAATTCAGATGTAACTTTTCGAGTAGATGATTTTTCATATAAAAAACTTTTTGATCCGACTTCGTATGCAAAAGTTATGCCCATTTGAGGTAGAAGTGGTGGGCTCAGATTAGCCTCAACAGTTGAGGTAGTACTAAAGATACGCATACTGGAATCCAAAGGGGGCGTTAGAAGTGGTGGGGGGAGGAAGATACCTGGAAGGGCGACTCTGGTGGCGGGTGGTGCCGGGCGAGGTGACCGGGGGGACGGACGAAGAGCAGGGGTGGCTGGACGCGCTGGACGACGGGGCGGTCGGCGAAACCCGTTGCGCGACAACGGCGCGGATGGGGCGGCGGAGGCGGTTGGGCTCGTCGGCGGAGTTCGATCTGGGCGGTGGCGAGGTGGAGGTTGCGGAGGCCTAGGCCTAGCGAGGGAAGGGAATGAAAGAAGGGGAAGGAAGGAAACCTCTCTTCTCTTCGTCCTAGGCCTAGCACCGTGAAGCCCAATAAGCCCAGAAGAACACGTCATTCATTTCTTCTTTAAGAGAAAAAAAATCAGGACCTCCTATTGGGCGCCTGGGGCACTTGCGAACATGCCAGCGCGCACAAGCGGGGTTCTTCGCCCCAGTCTTTTTATTCCGTATTTTTGTTTTTTTATTATTTTCCTGTTTTTTCTTTTTGAAAACAATTATGTATATAAAAAATGTTCAAAATTTAAGGAAAGAACTGAATCTGGGGAAAATGTTCGAGAAATCATAACATGTTCATGGTTTTTAATTCAACATTTTGAAATAAAATGTTCACATGTTTAAAAAATGTTCGTGAATTCAAAATTATTCATAAATTTAAAAACAATTTTAGATAATTCAAAATCTGGTGAACACTTTTTGAAGTCGATGAACAAAAATTGTATTCAACAACATTGTATTTTGAAAAATGGAAGAATTTTTTGGAATAAATTAATGTTTTTTGATAAATAAATGAACAATATCTGGAGTTGATAAACATTTTTTGAAAAACGATGAACAAATTTCAAATTTGATAAACATTTTTTTATTTTGATGAATTGTTTTTTGTATTTGATGAAAAAAAATTAAATTCAATAAACATTTTTTACATTGTTGAAGGAAGGTTCTAGAACCTTCCCAAAATCGGTTAGTGGTGAATCCCAAAAATGGGCCGGCCCATAGAAATTCCAGCGCGCGTGGTGGGTCCGTGTATAGCTAGCCAAACGGGTTGGGCCAATCAGGCCAGCCCACGAGCATGCTGGCACGCCCTGCCATGGGCCAAGCACGACACGGGCTAAATAGGCCGTTCCCGGCACGCCTTGGGTCATGCCTGGGCCTAGAGGCGGGGCACGCAGGCCGGCAAGGAACGGCCCATTTATAGGAAAAATACATCCTACTACCCGGTGTAGTTACACCCACGCAGGGACGGAGCCAGGATTTCGACATAGGGGGGCGAGGTTTCACACTAAGTTTCATGGGCAACTGCTATGTTGTAGAAAATTTATGCCTGGTCCAATGAAGATGCAACCCTGCCTGTTTTGTTTATTAAATTCATATGTAACTTTTCGAGTAGATGATTTTTCATATAAAAAACTTTTTAATCCGAGTTCGTATGCAAAAGTTATGCCCATTTTACAAATTCCAGAGAGATTTTGCAAATAAAGTTGAAATTCATATTTGTAAATTTTCCCAACAAGTAGACCACATATCACATGGCAAACTTATTTTCTTTTATTTTTTTAACATTTCCATCATTTTTTTTATTTTTTTAAAACTGAAAAGGCGGTCCAGGGGGGTGCATTCGGTGGAATTTTTGGGCCAAGTTACTAATGGCGCACCGTGGGAGTGGTGTGCCATTACTAGTTCAACTAGTAATGGCGCACCACACACACGGTGCGTCATTAGTAGTTTTGAAAAAAAATCCTTAGCCCACACACGATGCGCCATTGATTAGAATTCTAGTATCAATCAATTCCTTAGCAACAACAAACACTGAAATTGCAACCGTAATACTCTTAATAGTCAGTCGTTAACATTTTTTGAAATTGGTAAACATTTTTTGAAAAAAGATGAACAATTTCGAATTTGATAAACATTTTTTTATTTTCAAAAAATGTTAACGACTGATTATTAAGAGTATTACGGTTGCAATTTCAGTGTTTGTTGTTGCTAAGGAATTGATTGATACTACAATTCTAATCAATGACGCACCTGTGTGGGCTAAAGAATTTTTTTCTTCAAAACTACTAATGGCGCACCGTGTGTGTGGTGCACCATTACTAGTTGAACTAGTAATGGCGCACCACTCCCATGGTGCGCCATTAGTAACTCGGCCCAAAAATTCCACCAAATGCACCCCCACCCCCGTGGACCGCCTTTTCAGTTAAAAAATAAAAGAAAATGATGGAAATTTCAAAAAAATAAAAGAAAATAAGTTTCCCATGTGATATGTGGTCTACTTGTTGGGAAAATTTACAAATATGAATTTCAACTTTATTTGCAAAATCTTTCTGGAATTTGTA